GTGGGGTGGGGGTGGCTGGTGGGCGACGGGCCGCGGCGGCTCTCGGTCCCTTAGGACGCGTCTCCCGGCCTTTCTCCTTCGCAGGGTGGCAGCTGGCGTTGCGATGGACCTGGCAGGACTCCTACTGGACGGGGAAGGCACCTTCTCCCTCTCCGGCTTCCAGGACTTCACGGTGAGCACCCGCACCCCGACCTCCCGGGAGGCCCTCGAGGCAGGATCCGGGTGATTCCCTTCGGGTCCGGTTGGAGCCTCGAGCTCGCCTGATTGTCGCGTTCGGGAGCCGGGTGGCAGTGGCTCGGGCCGTGCCTACTCTAGGCCCCGGCTCTTGGGCCCTGAGGGAGACCCGCGGGATAGAGATGGGGGTGGGGTGTCCAGCCTGGGGAGCCCTCTTGGCAGAGGGTTCCTACCCCCTCTGGACCCTGAGGGGTTTGCCTTTGGCAAACAATTTGAGAACTGGGGCCTGGTGGGGCAGGGACCCCACTGGTAGTGTGGCAGGTCGACCGCTCCGCACGCCCCTTTTTAGCCCCGAGCCGGGCTCTCCATCATACCCTTCCCTGCCCTTCACCCTCCACTGCTCCCCTGCTCCGTTTTCAGCTCCTCCCCGGACACCGGAAGCTGAGCGCCCGGCTCCGAAGGAGACTGTGCTATGGCTGGGATTGGGAGGCCGAAGGCAGTTTGGAGGAACTCTCTAGCCCCGTGGCAGGTCCGGAGAAGCATGCCAGGGAGGTTGTCAGCAGTCCGAAAACAGTGACTTTACCCAACCAGTCGCACTGACCACTGGCTAGCTGGTTGGGACTTGGTTCAAGAACTTGGCTGTTTCATGCTCTTTTTGGTCCAATTGAGCCAAAGAGTTGCTGTCTCACATATGGATGTCATTCTTTGTATATCAGAAGCTGTTCATTTTCGTGACAGTTGTCCTTTTTCATAGACATCCATCATGTAGCGTCTAAAGAAACAGGGATCATCAATTCAGGTGATGGGGAAATAATCATTCCTGCTGGCAGGAGCTGAATTTTAAACTTGAAATGGAATTTCTTGACACAGTGTGGGAGCACTGGTTCTCTATTTTATTACCACAGCCCTGCCCCCACGGCCACAGCTGATAGAGATCTGGGCTTTCTGCTGCTAGCAGTGGGGGTTGTGTGTGTGTGGTGTGTGTGTCATGGTAGGGAGGGGTTGCTCACCAGGCTTTCCTGCTACTTCACACAGACATTGCTGTGGAATTGCTCCAAAAGGCAGCCCCCAGCCCCATTCGCCGACTCCAGAAGAAATATGTAGCTCACGTGTCCCGGTGAGTTGGGCATGGAGAGGAGGGACTAGAGGAGGTCATTTGGGTGCTCCAGAGGGGAATGGTTATCTCTAGTGCAGCGGTTCTCAACCTTCCTAATGCCCCCACCCTTTCATACAGTTCCTCTTGTTGTGGTGACCCCCAGCCATAAAATTATATTCATTGCTACTTCATAACTGTCATTTTGCTACTGTTATGAATCATAATGTAAGTATCTGATATGCAGGATATATTTTCATTGTTACAAACTGAACATAAAGCATAGTGATTCATCACAAAAGCAGTATGTAATTGTATATTGTGAACTATTTATTTCTAATGACAAATGAATGAAATTTTGTCTTGAAGCATGGTGTAGCATGGGTAACCGTCTTCACGCCGGGTACTCTGTGGGTGAATCTGCATGTGGGCCGACCTACCTGGAGACGGACAGAAGAGCGGTGTCTCAGTTCCTAAGACCATCGGAAATAGGTGTTTTCTGATGGTCTTAGGTGACCCCCACGAAAGGGTCATTCGACCCCCAAAGGGGTCTCGACCCACAGATTGAGAACTGCTGCTCTAGAGATAAGAGAGGTAGACCGGGGCTGGCCTTCAGCAGAGTGACGGAGTGGCGAGCTCTCACCAGGGCTGCTCTGTCTTGCCCAGGGAGGCCTGCATCTCGCCGTGTGCCATGATGCTGGCCCTGGTGTACATCGAGCGGCTCCGGCACCGAAACCCAGACTACCTCCAGCATGTGTCATCCTCCGACTTGTTCCTGATCTCCATGGTACGACGCCCCTCCCCTTCACTCCCCTGGTCGACCAGCAGCTGGGTGTGGAAGCCACCAACAGCCCCACTGATTCCTCCGCAGATGGTGGCCAGTAAGTACCTGTATGACGAAGGCGAGGAGGAGGAGGTCTTCAACGATGAGTGGGGAGCGGCCGGGGGTGTAGCTGTGCCCACCCTAAATGCCCTTGAGAGGGGCTTTCTGAGTGCGATGGTGAGTAGCTAGCTAGCTGTTCTCCCGTTTCCCTGACCTCTGTTTACGTTCTCCTTCTCCCTCCGCATATAACAGTTTCCTGGACATGTAATCCACGTGCCATGTAATTCACTGGTTTGAATATCTTTTTAAAAAGTTGTGGTCCTAACTTTCTTTTCATCTTCTGACGCTTTTCTCTCCACTGTTTCTTCGTTTCTCTTCCTGCCTGCCCCACTTCCTGTCTTCTGTGTCTTCCCTTCCCAGCCGTTCTGAATAAACCAGGTCCTTGGGAGGCTCCTGGAGTGAGGAAGCCAGGAGTGGGGGATTTCCTCTGTCCCTCTGGGGCCCCACGGTTCTTTACAATCTGCAGTCAGACCTCCCCTAGTGGGTTTCTGATGCCTTGCTTCCAGGCCGTCTGTGCCCCGTCAGCACTGAGCTCCCTGTGGGCACGGACCATGCTGGGGTTATTCTCTTGTTTTAATCCTCCGGCATCTGTGCTTTTGCCCTTGTTGGATCACAACGAGTCCTTTCCCCAGAGGCCAAATGAGATTTCACTGAACAGTCAACATTCCATCACTAACAGAAAGAATCCTTTCTCACCCCCTGAGATGCCTCCATGTGTCTCTGCCCATCCCAAACTCCCGGCCGAGTCACCCAAAGCCTTCTTATCTTTGCAGCTGCACTCCTTAGAGACCCTTATGTTTTACCCCGTCCCCTGCAGCCATCCTTTTCTGGCCCTCGGAGCAGTGGGCATCCTCCTGGCTCTATGACCTTGGCTTTGTGCCTGCCCTAGGGCACATCGTCCCAGGTCCAAGTTTCTCAGGCAGCTCGTGTGAGGGATGTCTGAGTTTGGTGTTGCTTAAGTGTCAGCAGGTTGTAAGTAAGCAGTGTTGTTACCAAATCCAAGCTGACAGAACCTAGTGTATAAATCCCTTGACTGTCTTCTTCCCCCCACCCCCCCACCCCTGACTTGCTAGCCTCAGATTTGAGGCCGAATCTAGCAGGAGCCCAGTCCTACCTAGCCACGTGCTTGCTGTGTGCCCTTGCCAGAGTTACAGTACTTCACCTCTCTGGACCTCAGGTTCTTCAACGTAATGGTTTTTTGTTTTTTAAACTTTTTAGTGTGAACTTTGTGGGTTTCCATATCAGATCATTTTTGCATTCAAAAACTTATCAAATCAAAATTCCCAATGGCTTACCCTGTTTCTCTCTCTTTTGCCTTCCCACCTTTTTTTTTTTAAATCATTTTATTGGGGGCTTTTAGAGCTCTTATCAGAATCTATACATACATCCGTTGTGTGAAGCACATTTGTACATATGTTGCCATCATCATTTACACAACATTTTCTTTCTACTTGAGCCCTTGGTATCAGCTCATTTCCCCCCTCTCCCCCTTCCTCCCTCCCTCATGAACCCTTGATAATAAATAAAATTTTTCATGTCTTACACTGACTGCTGTCTCCCTTCACCCACTTTTCTGTTGTCCATTCCCCTGGGAGGGGGTTATATTATAGATCATTGTGATTGGTTGTCCCTTTCTCCCCCATCTTCCCCTTCTCTTGGTATTGCTGCTCGTTGCTGCTCTCATCCACCTGTCTCTTAGAGGCGATTATCTTCTCCACTCATCCAAGTTCACACCTGTCGATCGCTAGTCTGTTGCTTCCCTCCTCCTCCCTTCCCCTTCAAACTCTGATTCTTTTGGCATGAAAACCTTTTCTTGATTTTTCTTCCTCTTTATGACAGTGGCCTCATACCATGCATCTAACCCTAACCCTGACCCTTTTGTGATTGATTAATTTCACTTGTATTTCACAGGTGCACCCTTAGTCTTCATTTATCCTTATCATTTATCATTCATCCTTGTCATTTATCCATTCTCCCACCAATGGGCACTTAGGTCATTTCCATCTTCTAGCTCTTGTGAACAGCGCTGCGATGAACGTGGGTGTGCATCGATCTGCTTGTGCTGTGTTCCTTATTTCTTGAGGGTGTGTACCAAGCAGAGGGATTGCTGGGGCATATGGGATTTCTGTTCCCAATTGTTGGGACAGTGGTTGTACGTTTTACAATCCCAACTCTTTTCTCCCCTTGGTGTTAATGGAGGGCACAAGAGGAACCCAGGTAGATGGTGATTAAACTTGTGGGAGCATAAAGCATTTGGAAACGAGTCTAGCAGAGTCTAGCACCAGCCGTGGAGCTTGTAGCTGTGGTTGCTGCCCTGCTATCGCCGCCGGGGTGTGGCTCACATCCAGGTCTCACATGTCCACCCTGCAGGACTGGCGTCTCTACACTGACCCTCGGGAGGTCTTTGAAGTGCTGAGCTGGCTGGAGAGCTGGTAGGTTCTAGGATTTGGGGGTAGGGTGGTAGATCTTGAGGAATTCAGGGACTGAGGCCTAAGCTATGGGAGCTGGCAATGAGGGTCTGTGTAACTGGGGGTGGGAGGAAACATGGAAGAGAATTACCCAAGGCCCCCTGTTTCCCAAACCTGTCAGCCCTCTTTCTCGTCCCCTTTGGGAGGGTGGGGGCGAGAAAAGCCTGTTTAAAATAGATTCTCGAGGCTTCCCCTCAGCTGGCTAGTTCCTGGAGGCCTACACAGTTTCATAGGTTGTGCTGGCTTCGGGGCAGTGTGGAATCTCTCTTTTCTCCCCTTCCACCAGTGTGGCTGAGCAGCAGGGACAGCGGCGGGGCTGGTACACCTACACAGACCTGTGTGTGCTGCTGGAGCAGCCAGCTTGGCAGCTGGCCCTGGGCTCCCTCTGCCAGCAGCTAGCAAAGGTGAGGTGTGACGGGACCCGCCAAGAGGGGTGGCTTGTTGGGTGGAAGGACACTAGCTAGTAGTTGGGCCTGGGAGTAGCTGGGTGAGGTAGGGTGGAAAGGGCTACAGAGCGCTCCAACTAGACCCCAAGTCTGTAGAGAGAAGGGGCGGATGTGTCAGAGACTGTTGAAAGCTGTTTGGGGCGAGAGGCCTCCCCGGATGTGGGCACTGACCCACCTTCCTTCCTTCCTTCCTTCCTAACTGCAGCTGTCCTGCCTGCTCGCCATGGCGTATGTGAGCAGTGTGGCCCTGGCGGTGGCATCCGTGGCTGTGGTGCACCAGTCCCTGGGCCTGTTCTGCAGCCCTCCACCCGGTCCCCCCGACCTTGGCCTGGCCTCCCGCTCCCTCCTGGAGCCCTGCATGCCTGCTCCTGTGCCACAGGGCCTACCCCCTCCTGCGAACGTCTCTGGCTGCCTGGGAGGGGCCACATGCCTCCGTTCACTGGGCAATCTTATTGCCTCCCTGGCTCCTCCACCCTTGCCCCCCCCAGACCCTCCTGCACCTCCCACCCTTCTCCCTCACTGCCCCCTCTGCCAGAAGCTTCGGAGAGACTCCCCAACCTGCCGTGCCTGCCTCCACCCCAACCGTACCGTCTCCACTGGGCCTCCTGGTGCCTGGCGCCACACTCAGGGCCTGGCTGCCCGCTGGCCTTGGAGCCAGATGCCCCCTCCGCTCCCTCAGCCCCAGCAGTGTTCCCTTTTCAGCCTCCTGGAGCTGGCCCGCCTGAGGTCTTTCATCTTCCCTGGCTAGGGGGCGCTCCAGAGAGCGCTTTCAGAGGACTAGGGAGTCCCTGAGAATCGAGGGGAGCCCAGTGTGTTTTGTCTCCTCTCTTCCTCTCTGGGTCCTTACTCAGCTGCTCCCTTCCCCTCCTGGCGATGGAGCAGAAGGGCTTTGGGGACAGATGACCGCAGGCCGTCAACTGTCCCAGACCTCTGGGTCTGGCTGCTTGGTAGGGGCAAGTGAGAGTGCGTGGGCAAGGTCAGCTGGGTGGCCCTGTCACATCCCGGATCCACAGAGTGAGGCCCTTGTCTCTCTGGTCCCACTCCCACCCCCTGGGGCTTTTCTAGACTTCCGTCTCTGCGTTCTCTAGGGTGGGAGGGTATAGGTGGGAGGTGGGCTAAGGGATGGAAGGACAGGTTAACCAGGGTCTATGTGACATCCCTGCTGCAGGAGAGGCAGGGACTGAGGGGGCAGAGGCAGGTGGGAACTCCTCTCCCTGCCTACCTGAGGGGTGCAGTCTAATGGAGCCAGGCATGCTGGGCCCTTCAACCTTGACCTTTTGTCTTCCACCTCCTCCGTGCCCTGCACCTAGGCTTCCCTCTCCTGTTCCCTCTCTCGGTCTTCTCTTCACAGGCCTCTCTGGCCACCACTTTGTATCTGGGTTTTTCACGCTTTTGTAGAACAGGTTTCAATAAACACTTTAAATCGCATGGCCTGGACTCTGCGTTGTAGGCAGCCCTTGAAGAGCTTTCAGCGTCTGCCTTCTAAGGCTCCTTACTTGCTGATCCCGATATGCACCTTGTTGCCTCTGAACCCTCTTCAGGAACTTCCCTAGTGCTAGTTGCAAGCTCCCATTACAGACATTCCTCATCTCTGTTCCCAGCGCCCTGGCAGCCCAGGCCTGATCACATTCAGGACAAAACGTTGACTGCAACATGCCTGGCATTGACTCTGTCGCATGTCCTTGTGGCTGCCAAAGCACATCTGGAGAGGGGCGGTACATGGTGTATATCCTCAGAGCACCAAGAGCTCCGGGAGGCTGGTCCTTGTGAAGCCGTGCTCCCTAACCCGCCTGCCTCACTTGCCTGACACGGAGCAATGTGCAATGTGCAGAGAACTCCACAGCTGAGTTATCACTGGGAGAAGGAAGACAGTTATTCTGGACCATTGGGCTGAGAGTAGTAAGTGGGAACTGCTTAAAGAGATCTAAAGGAGCCCTGGTGTTGCAGTGGCTAAAGCACTGGCAGCCTGGCCGCTCTGATGCACCAGCGGTCCTGGGGGAGAGAGAAATGGCCCCCTCAGAAACCCTATGGATTGTTGGATGCTAGACTCACAGCAAGTTCAGTGTAACTCAATGGCCATGCTAGGCTTGGGAGATGATCCATGGAAGGGGTGATACTGCCCCCTAGGGAGCATTTTGGAAGTAGATGGTATAACCTTTTGGATTAAAAAAAAAATTTTATTGGGAGCTTGTACAACTCTTGTCATAATCCATACATCCATCCATTGTGTGAAGCACATTTGTACATTTGTTGCCATAATCATTCTCAAACATTTGCTTTCTACTTGACCCCTTGATATCAGCTCATTTTCCCCTCCCCGCTCCCCCCTCCCACATGAACCCTTGATAACTTATAAATGATTATTTTGTCATGTCTTACACTGTACGGCGTCTCCCTCCGTTTACCCACTTTTCTGTTGCCCATCCCCCAGGGAGGGGATTATATGTAGATCCTTGCAATCAGTTTCCCCTTTCCACCCCACCTTCCCTCTATCCTCCCATTATTGCCACTCTCACCGCTGGTCCTGAAGGGATCACCCATCCTGTATTTCCAGTTCCTATCTGTACCAGTGTACATCCTCTGGTCTAGCCAGATTTGCAAGGTAGAATTGGGAACATGATAGTGGGGTGGGAGGAAACATTTGGGAACTAGAGGAAAGTTGTATGTTTCATCATTGCTGTATGTTTCATCATTGCTACACTGCACCCTGACTGGCTCGTCTCCTCACACAATCCTTTCATAAGGGGATGTCCAGTTGCCTACAGTTGGGCTTTGGGCCCCCACTCCACACTCCCCCTCATTTACAATGATATGATTTTTTGTTCTTTGATGCCTGATACCTCATCCCTTCTATACCTCATGATCAAACAGGCTGGTGTGCTTCTTCCATGTGGGCTTTGTTGCTTCTGAGCTAAATGGCTGCTTGTTTATCTTCAAGCCTTTAAGACCCCAGACCAGGGGTCCTCAAACTTTTTAAACGGGACCAGTTCACTGTCCCTCAGACCCGTTGGAGGGCCTGACTATGGTTTAAAAAAACAGAAATTATGAACAAATTCCTATGCACACTGCACATATCTTATTTTGAAGTAAAAAGAAAAAAGAAAAAACAGGGAAAAAATGCCCGGTGGGCTGTATAAATGTCCTCGGTGGGCCACATGTGGCCTGTGGGCCATAGTTTGAGGACCCCTGCCCCAGATGCTATATCTTTTGATAGTTGTGCACCATCAGCTTTCTTCACCACATTTTCTTATGCACACATTTGTCTTCAGTGATCATATCGGGTGGGTGGGCACCCACTGATATGATTTTTTGTTCTTTGATGCCTGATACCTGGTCCCTTCTACACCTCGTGGTCACACAGGCTGGTGTGCTTCTTCTATGTGGACTTTGTTGCTTCTGAGCTAGATGGCTGCTTCTTTACCTGCAATCCTTTAAGACTCCAGACACTATTTCTTTTGATAGCCAGGCACCATCAGCTTCCTTCACCAAAGTGTTCTTGCATTGAGTAAGTACTTGAATGGAGGTCCAATGTCCATCTGCTGCCTTAATATTAAACCTATAAATACATGTACATTGATTTTATTTCCCCATCATCCTATATAAATATATTTACATATGTGCATATGTAAACTGCTGAAATTTGATTGAATGCTCTAGACTGGACTTTCTTAAAGATGTAGCTGGCCACAGTTCCAACAGGAATCCTTCTGATTAAGGAACATGCTTGGCTCCTCAGAGTACTGGGTTGAAAAAAATGGGCAATTTAAAAATTGAATAAGAGAGTGGGTGATAAAACCACAAAGTGGCTGACTTACAAACTTTTAGGTGTGCTTACAGTAAAATGATTAAGGAGTCGGGGTGGGGGCGTCAATCCTTCCTGTGTGAAAGAGACAATGGCTGAAGGAGTCGGGTGGCCTGCAGTGTCGTGGATTATTCAGTGTGGCTTTTCAAGCCATCATCTCTGTAACTCTCACCAAGTGACCATTTGTGATGGTTCCGGGTAGGAGAAAGCGGGGAAGATACCGGTAGGATTCAGTTGTGAGTGCTTGTTCACAGAATTCATTGTCATTGCCATCCTGCTGGGTATAAACTGAGGCATCTCAGCATCTGGAGTGGGGATGTCAGTACCAGCAAGAGCCAGGAGTGGAGAACATCCTCTAAACCAGCGGTTCTCAGCCTTCCTAATGCCGCAACCCTTTCCTACAGTTCCTCATGTGGTGGTGACCTCGCAACCCTAACATTATTTTCATTGCTACTTCATAACTGTCATTTTGCTACTGTTATGAATCGGGCAATTCCTGTGAAAGGGTCTTTGACCCCCAAAGGGGTCACGAGCCACAGTTTGAGAACCACTGCTCTAGACCCTGAGATCCAGGAAACAGCTTTGACACAAGAAGAGAGACAGAGGACCATCATTAGCAGAACTAGGAGCCATAGCATGAATCAGCATTAGATCTCCCAGCCTATAGAGCAAGTAAAGCTGAGTGCATGCGGGCAGAAGGCTGACTGTGGAGTAGGGTGCCTCTGGGCACTTAATGGGGGAGCTGGATTTGCTGACTCATGGAGGTGGAGCTGAGTGCCTTTGAGTTGTGACTTATAGTGGAGTGGTATGCCTTTAGGGCACTGATTAGCAGCCCTAAAAGAACTTGGGAACATTGCCCAAACAGGGCAGATGCCTGGACAAGAGGTTGAAGTCCAGAGAGGCCTGTATCCTGAGCATTAGCCTGTTAACTTCCTTACCAAACCAAACACCCCGGCATTGAGTCAATTCCAAATTAAGAAACCCTTTAACCATGAATGCTATCTGTGAGTTGTGTGGCTATCTCAAAATTATACTACTCAGATGGAAAAGTAGAGCTTGTCCTGTGAGCAGAACAAGTATGTCACTAAGAGTTCATCATTTTGGAAAATCAGGTCACCAATGGCAGTACTGCTGGTGACATCTGAGCTGTCAATAAAATACCAGTGTCTGTTGACATTTGTAGCTTTCCTGTCACAGTGGTGCATACATGGTGATATGGGAGCATTGGACTAGCTTGCTCTCTTGGTTTAGTTTTGCCCATGCTTTTACATAATCAAAACATATATAGGTGTGTGTGTATATATATATTGTTTTTTATATATATATATAACAAGATGGACTTTGGGCCTCTCCTTAAATCTCAACTAAATACAAGAACAGTTTGTCCCAATAATGTGGCATTATATGATACTCACCTTCCCGACAGGATCACTGAAGACAAAATGGGTGTGTAAGCAAATGTGGTGAAGAAAGTTGATGGTGCCCAGCTATTAAAAGATATAGCACCTGGGGTCTTAAAGGCTTGTGGTTAAACAAGAGGCCATCTAGCAGGAAAGCAACAAAGCCCACATGGAAGAAGCTCACCAGTCTGTGTGATCATGAGGTATCAATGGAAAGAGGTATCAGAAGTTCAAAATCAAGCAATCAAATTGAGCATGGATGTAGTGGAGACCCAAAATCCACCTGTAAGATAATTGGACAGTCCCTCTCAGAAGGGCAACATGGAAGGGATGATAAACCTAGAGATCAGTAGTATAGCACTAATGAACCACACAACTATCCTCTAGTTCTTTAATATTTCCTCCCCTTACTATTACGGTTTTTGTTTTACCTCATTAATCTTGTTAGATTTGCCTATGTTCATTTGTACAATTAAGATCATTCTATACATGAAAGCCAAGATAGATAACCCTTCAGAAACAGGGAGTAATGGTTCCCTAAGGGTACAGGAAGGGGGAGGAGGGGTAGCTGATAGCATTGATGACTGTATAACCCCATTTGAGGAGAGCGAACAACAGAATTGTATGTGAAAAACAATAAAATAGATAAAAATAATAAGGACTCCTGGGGGGTAGGGTGGGGGGGGAGAGGATAACGGGAGCTGATATCAAGGTGTTCAAGAAGAAAGAACGTGTTTTGAAACTGATTGTGGTAGCAATTGTACAATACTGCTTGATGCGATTGAACTAAGCAATGTTGTATCTGTAAGCACTCCCAATAAAATGATTTTATATATATATATAATTTTATTTCTCCTTTTTTATAAGGACTTTATATGGAGCAGTAGTAGTCATCCTTGCTTGATAACAGGTGTATTATTTTTTTCTTAACTCCTGCAATCCATTCACCAATGATTATCAATTCATCTTGAGACTGAGAAAGTTGTTAGAGAATTTTTCGATTTCTTCATCACTCGATTTCCCTGCCTTCTTTTGCTGCCGATGTTTGCATTCCCATCACCAACAGTGAGCTCCGGTGTAACAATGGTGAGGAGGATGCAGGGCCAGGCAGTGTCTGGTGCTCGTGTCCATAGGTCACTATGAGGTGTAACTGACTGTGACCCAACCAGAACAATTGACCTTGAATTTCCTTTTGAGGCAATCAAAGGGGCTTGGTCCGGAAAGGGCTGAGAGCCACCAAGGTACCGGTGCCGGCTCTACATGGCGCTGAGAGGAGAAGACAGTCTGCAAAATCTCCCTGGGTTCTTTTCGTGGGTCCCCTCACCCTCTTAGGCTGCTTGGCAGAGCCTGGCCTATGAGAAGGAGATCTGGAAGGAGATTCTTGGGGGAGGGGTCCAGAACTTGGGTCCCCCGGTTAATGGGTGAACGAGTTTGCATAAGAGCTGGGCAAAGGTGAAAGGACGATGCCCTGTCCCCAATCCTTCATCCCTTCGTTCCGCTTCATTGATACTCCCACCCCCTTCCCAGCCCTCCCCACTCCAGGCAGCTAACTCCACCCAAACTCTGACCTCTTCCCCTCTATGTACTCTGGCTCGGGACAGCCAAGACAAGAGAGAGGCCAGGACAGCATGAGTCGATCACTCCCGCATCTCAGCCAACTCTGCCCGGTGGGCTCCCAGGATGCCTTGGCTCTCCGATCATCACCACCTGGTCTGAAGAGTCCCTCATCCCCTTCTGGGGCCTCTCTGGGTGGGTCTCTTCCCTGGGGCCTCAGCTGTCTTCTGGCTGTGCAGGTAGGAGGTATAGGTGTGGGAGCTGGTGGCGGCTGAATCGGGTGTGGGGTGGTGGTGGCGGGCGGTGGTGATTGATATGTGTATGATGAGAGACCGCCTGGAAATTGCAATTCCCTTGAAGACGTGCCTGTCTGAGGACCACCTTGCCTCTCCCTGCAGCATATCCTGGTCCTGGCCTGCCTGCTCTGCGTCACTCACCTGCTCCTTCTCCACAGCCTCCTCCCAGGAGGACTCTCTTACTCCCCCGCCCAGCTCCTGGCCTCCAGCCTCTTTTCAAGTGGTGTGTCTACTGCCTTGCAAACCTGGATGGGCAGCAGGTGAGGGCACCTCCCTGGAGAGCGGGGCGGGGCGGGTTGGGGTCCAGGAAAGTAAGGGAGACTCAGAGGAGTCTGTTGGGCTGCTACGTGTGCCCAGACGGCCAGGGCTGCTGTTCCTCCAGGCTACCTCTTGTCCAGGCTCCCTCCTTCGAGTTCCTGATCCCTGCACTGGTGCTCACCAGCCAGAAGCTCCCTATGGCCATCCGGACACCTGGGAACTGTGAGCATAGAGCAAGCACGTGGGGTGGGTGCTAATCTGAACACACAGGTCAGGTGGGGGCTGAGTGACACTGGGCAGTGGTGGCACTCGATGCTGTAGGGGCCTTGGAGCTGGGCCAGGCATCCGAGAGGAGCTCAGTGCCGTGGGGCTACATCTCACCCATTTCTCTCTCCTCTTTGCTCTAAAACTTTCCCAGCCTCCCTCGTGGTGCCCCGCCTGTGTGGGGGCCCTGGCTGCCATAGCCCGGACCTCAGGAACGCTTCTCTCCGGGAGGTGAGGTCCTGGGGTGCAGAGGAGCTAAGGTGGTGGTGGGGGGTCAGAATGGAGAGGTTCCAGGAGAAGGACCTATCCCTGGAATGGACTAGGAGGGCCGGCTGAAGTCAGCCTGATTGAACACAGTGCCCTCTTCTCCACGCCTCCAGGTGTCCGGAGCAGTGGTGGTCGCCGGGCTGCTGCAGGGCACACTGGGGCTGTTGGGGGGCCCTGGCCGCTTGTTCCCTCACTGTGGGCCCCTGGTGCTGGCCCCAGGACTGGTTGTGGCGGGGCTCTCTGCCCACAGGGAGGTAGCTCTGTTTTGCTCCGCTCACTGGGGCCTGGCTTCGCTGTACGTGCGTGAGTCCCAAGAGGTGTGGAATGGTGGCCAGACGAGGGTGGGGGAGTGGGACGAGGGGGAGTGTGCTGCTGCTGCTGGCCTCCCCAGATTTCCAGTCATCTGGGTGGGACATGACACGTTTCTGGATTTTAAGTCCAGACTTTCCCTTGGTTCACCGAGTCTCCCTGACTTTCACACTGCCTCCCCTTGTGCCCTAACAAGGCCCTCTTACCCCTTCGGGTAGGGATTTCCTCCTCTGGGACCCCTCTCCACATCCACTAACACCCCTCAGGACCCTGCTCCGTCTTGCTTCTAAAGCTCCTTCTCTGGCCTAGGCTTATCCTGCTCATGGTGGTCTGTTCTCAGCACCTGGGCTCCTGCCGGCTCCCTCTTTGCCCCTGGAGGCCAGCTGCAGCCTCTCTAACTCGAGCGCTCAGTCCTGCCTTCCGGCTCCTCTCGGTATGTGGGGCTGGGCAGGGGCAATGGAGATTGGAGGGCTGGCATGGAAGACCCACTTGGCCCCCTGCCTTTGGGCTTCATTCTATCTCGCCACGCTGGTTTGGAAGGTCCTGGGGGGTAGGTTCTTTTCTGTCCCTATTTTGCCCTCAGGTGCTGATCCCTGTGGTCTGTGTGTGGGTCCTCTCTGCCCCGCTGGGTCTCAGCACTGGCTCCCTGGAGCTGTCTGCCCCACCGGAGGCACCGTGGTTCTGGCTGCCTCACCCCGGTAGGTGTGATCGCCCTCTTTTGTATTCCCCATCCAAGGCTGTCTGTTTGAACTCACTGAATGGGTGTTCTATGAGTTCCACCCTCCAAACATGTTGGAAGAGGGCACTGGGCTTCTGTGAAGGGTGGTGGGACAGTGTGGGCACAGGTATGGGTGCCAGTTGAACAACATGATGAGTATGATGTCACTTGGCTCTACATGGTAAGGATCCAGGGTGGTACAGTGGTTCCGTGCTGGGTTGATAACCGCAAGTTTGGTAGTTCAAAACCACCAGCTGCTCCTTGGAAGACTGACAAGGCTTTCTACTCCCCTGAAGAATTCCAGTCTCAGAGACCCACAGGGGCAGCTCTACCCTGTCCTATCGGGGTACTGTGAGTTGGTGCTGATCCCACCGCAGTGAGTAGGCATTTGGTTGGCTGTCTGTACATAGGAAGGCCGTGAAGTGCCAAAGGTTTTTTTTCCATCTCTGTGGGTCACAATAAAGACATAAGTAGGAGAGGGGCATTGCAAACCTGAGGGCTACTTTCTACCTCTCCCCTCAGGGGGTTTTATTTGGGTCAGTGTTTAAAAAAAATCTATAGTTTCCACTCCCTGATTCTCTATTGATATTACTTATCAGTGTATGCATTTGTTACCTATTCCTGCAGGGACTTGACTTGGTGACCTATGTCTAAAGTTTGTGTTTGAGGTATTGAATAGAAAATGTGCTCATTAAGTCCTGTTGAGTACTGAGTATCAACCAGTCACACGAGAGGGGATAGAGTGATGACTGCCCTCACAGAGCTTACAGTCTGCTGGGGAACACAGCTACTCATTAAATAGAGTCAAGTAAGTGTACAATTGTAGTGGTGCGAAGTGCACCAAAGGGGTGGTGCATATGTGTGATGCATACTCATAGGGAAATTTGGCTGTCAGGGAGGTGAGCAAGGTATTATTATTTAGAATTTCCATGGGGTGTTATGTTCATCTTTTAATTTTTAATAGTTTTATGGACATATAATTCATGTACCCTGCAAGTCAATTGTTTATAGCTTAAATATATTAAATAATCAATTTTAGAATGAGGAAAAGTATTCTTCAGGAGTGATCATTGAGCTGAAGTGCCAGAGATGAGTAGGGGGCACATGCACAAAGGCAGAAGAACAGTCTAGAAAGTGAGACCATCACACACAAAGGACTCGTGCTGGGAGGGAGCACAGCAGGTAGAGAGCCTGGGACAGGCCAGTGGGTCTGGAGTGAAGGAATTGAGGTGGAGTGCAGTGACGGATGGAACTGGAGAGACCAAAGGGCCAGACCAACGTGGACATTGTCGACTAGGCAGATGGACCTTTATGCTCAGTGATATGTGGTTTTATCCCAAGACATTAACCTTTATGCTAAGATATCAGTGGTTTTATCCCAAGACGTTATCCAAAGGCAATGGGGCAGCTAGGATTCTTACAGCACAGGTGATGGATAGGAGGGGTGTGGGGTTCTCTATACCAGAGCTCGGCCCCCAAGCAACTCTTTCTCTCTTCCCAGGTGAGTGGGACTGGCCTTTGCTGACGCCCACAGCCCTGACCGCAGGCATTTCCATGGCCCTGGCAGCCTCCACCAGCTCCCTGTGTGGCTATGCTCTGTGTAGCAGGCTCCTGCATCTGCCGTCTCCCCCTTCACATGCCTGCAGTCGAGGGCTGTGCCTAGAGGGTCTGGGCAGTGTGCTGGCTGGACTCCTCGGGAGTCCTATGGGCACTGCATCCAGCTTCCCCAACGTGGGCACAGTGAGTCTCACCCAGGTATGGTCCTCACACCAGGATCGGGGGAGCTGCAGGCGCAGGAGAGGGAAGGGAGCTCACATTGATGGCCAGCCACTTCACACTAGTTGTCTCACTTAGGGAGGTGCTTGGCAGGGGCATCCTGGGAATCTGGGGAAGATCTGGAACCTTATTGAATTCCTATGCATCAGACACTGGACAGGGCCAGAGTCCCAGAGAGCAGTCAAAGTCCCTGCCCTCTTGAGGGACTTCAGAGGAGAGGCAGACAATGAACCCAATATAACACAACAAAGTAGAGGGTGGTAAAGGCGTTAAGTGGGGGAGTGGGATAGCACTGAGTAAAGGAGGACCCTGCAGATAAGGGGCAGGGGTGCCTTTTGGGAGAAGTCCCATTTGACTTAGGGCCTTCTCCCAGTGAATTAGGAGGAGCTGGTCAGGTGACAATATGGGGTGGCAGGTGCACTTTCTAGTGTCTCTTCTCCACTAGGCGGGGTCTCTGCGAGTAGCCCATTTGGTGGGGATTCTCTGCATGGGGCTGGGGCTCTCCCCCAGACTGACTCAGCTCCTCACCGCCATCCCACTGCCTGTGCTTGGTGAGTAGATGTCTCAGCAGGGCCGCTAGGGAGCCTAGGGCCAGCCAGCGGTGTACTCTCTCACTGTGACACCCTCCCTAGATGATGGATGAGTTTGGGTCGCCTGCCCTCATTGTCTCAGCCCAGGATCTTGGACTCTTGCCTGGGCTTCTTGCAGAATCAGAAGTAAACCTTTTGGTGGTCTGCCCCCTTCCCCCCATACCTTGCCCAGCTCTGCACTGCCCCTGCTGTGCCCATCCTCTGGATTTCTCCCTTAAATGCAGGCGGGGTGCTGGGGGTGACCCAGGCAGTGGTTTTGTCTACTGGATTCTCCTGCTTCCACCTGGCTGATATTGACTCTGGCCGGAATGTCTTCATAGTCGGCTTTTCTATCTTCATGGCCCTGCTGTTGCCACGATGGCTTCGGGAAGCCCCGGTCCTTCTCATCACAGGTGGGAAGAGAGGGAGGGGAGGGGGAAAGCAAAGGCCCTCCAGACCCCTGGCCCTACACTCTTTTCTGGGCCTTGGTATAAACAGTCTCCCCACTGCCTTATTGCACAAACATGTAATGAGCACTATGTTAGTCACTCGTGATGCAAAGATTCCCCCAGGTCTAGTAAAAAAGATGAGATGTCTGTGTGTGGGGGGGTGGAGGTGGGGGGACGGTGGGGGGGCGGGGAAGCAGCAGTTTCAGATAAAGAACTTTGATATTCAACGGAGCCCTGGTGGCACAGAGGGCTAAGCCAACTGAACAGTTGGCAGTTTGAACCCACTGGCTGCTCTCAGGGAATAAAGATGTGATGTTCTGCTTCCATCGAGGTTTAGAACCTTGGAAAGCCCACAGGATAGTTCTGTTCTGTCCTATAGGGGTCGCTATAGCTGAGTCAACTCGGTGGTAGTGTGTATGTTTCTGTGCTTGGCGCTCAACCATGAGAGATGGCTTCTGCCCGAGGGTCTGGGTAGGTTTTACAGAGAAAGTAATATTCAACTGGTCTTGAAGGGCGGTAAGGTATAAATATGTTTTGTGAGAACAAGAGTGTCTTGATGGTGGACTCATCACCAACAAAGCCACAGAAAGAAGTCAAGTTCAGGGCAGGCCCTGAGAATGCAGCAGCTAGCTTCGTTCCTCTAGAGCAGGGGTTGGCAAACCGAGGCTCCCGAGCGGTCGATGGCTCTTTCAGTACTTACATATGGGTCTGATGTGAAATGGGGAAAAAATTTAAAGAATAGTATTCAGATAATGGTGATTTCATTTGTTTGTAAAAATATATTTATGGCTCTGGAATAATTTTTAAATTGTAACAGGATTGGCTGTTCCGTCGCAAAAGATTGCCGGTCCCTGGTCTAGAGCAATGGTTCTCAAGGGGTGATTTTGTCCTCCTGAGGACACTTGGCAATGTCTGGAGACACTTTGACCATCACAAATGCGACTAGGGTGGGTGGGAGCTACTGACACCTAGTGTCTAAATGCCAGGGCTGTTACTACACATCCTGCTATGCACACGATGGACCATAATCCCAACTCGCAGTGACCCTGCCGAGTAGAATTGCCCCGTCAGATTTCCAAAGCAGCAAATCTTTATACAAGCAGATTGCCACATCTTTCTCTTAGTGACTGGTGGGTTTGAACCATCGACCTTTTGGCTAGCAGGGGAGTGCCTTAACCACTGTGCCACCATGGATTCTTATCAAAGAATATCCAGTCCAAAATCTTGAGAGTCTTATCATCAAGGCTAGGTGGTAATAAGTGATAGATAACGTTGAGGCTTTTATACCACACTTCCCAGAGAAAGAGCCTGGTGTACTACAAGCATGTCTGGAGGGTATGGGTTCTCAGAAGTTAGGCTGTTGAACAGGTGTCTTCTGTAGAGGGTTTGGGTGTGGGCAGTGGAGAGTAGAGGGGAGTGTGGGGGCAGGGCGCCAGCTAAGTCTGCACAGAAAGAACTAGTCCTAGTCTAACACTTAGGCTCGGCCCAGAAGGATCAGAAGTCTCAGGCCTTGGAGTGTAGAATCAGCATCCCCTTCCTGTTTGGGCCCTGTAGGCTGGAGGCCCTTGGATGTGTTCCTGCGATCACTGCTGACAGAGCCCATCTTGCTGGCTGGACTCTTGGGCTTCCTCCTAGAGAACACCATTCCTGGTAAGACAATCCAGGCCGCAGCAGCCTGGGAAGGACCAGAAAGTCAACACTCCTGGGTTCGCACAATGGCCTGACCAACCTCTCTTTTGCAGGCACCCCGCTAGAGAGAGGCCTAGGTCAAGGTCAAGAGGTTCGGATGCTTCAGACACCCAGAAAGAAGGCTGTTCAAGAGTATGGGCTTCCTCTTCCCATCCAAAGCTTGTGTGCCTGCCTCCCCCAGTCCCTTCGTTGCCTCTGCCCACTGCCTGAGGATGTTGGGGATAAGGAAGGAGAGCTCTCTGATCCAGGAGAGACAGCAGACTTGCTGCCTGGTTTTGGGGAGCCAGAGTTTGGGCCTACCAGAGATGGGTTGAAGTCCCAGTAATTCCAGGATGCCTACTTCTGTATGGATGGTTCAGTCTGCGGGGAGTCAGCTCCCAGGCTCTGCTTTCTCCTAGGGAGAAGGGTGTGTGGGCATATAACCTGGGCCCATTTAAAGACCCCATTTTCCTCTAGGTGTGTGTCTCTTTTTCTCTGAATCAGGACTAACCGGTCCACAACTTTCTCCCTGGGAGCAGCTAGCGGGTTCCAACGTCTTACGAATGAATGAATGACATGTTGCCTCTACATTCTCAATGCCACTTAAATTCCAGAATCCTGTTGACCAATATTTATTGAGTGCCTCCCACATGCAAGGTCCTAGAACTACAGTTAAGGACAATGCAGGGTCCCTCTCCACTCAAAGACACCTAGAAACCCCTGCCTTCTGCTTTGCATTTTGGTGAATCAGTCTATAATAAAGATGAAAACAACTCTTTGTTGTCCAAGCAAAGAGGAAGGAACAATTCATTCGGATTAGGGGGGAAATGGGAACGTTTCTGCAAAAGAAGCGGTCTGGAGGTTGGCTTCAAGCAAAGGAATGGGTGGGGAAATTTTTCCAGGCTCAGAGATCTTCGGCAACCCTCCTTCCCCCCTTCACCCCCCACCCCTCAAGTTGTGCGAAGTGCTAGGTGATTTGGGGAGGTTTCAAGTTTCTCGGTGGTGCAACCTAAGATATGGAGGTGAATGGAGAGATGAGGCCGGAGAGGCGAAGAGGAAGGTCGAACAATGGGGCTAGGTTTAGGTTAAGGTGACCAGACGTCACGCTTTTTAACTATTTTCCCCGCGTCCCGCTGCGTTTTAAATAAGTCCCGATTTTTGGAAAAAATGCACGATAAGCTAGGGTATACGGTTTTCGGCTATTTCGCCAGGATACGAGTTTTATCAATGGTGTCCCGCTTTACCAATGTTAAAATCTGGTCACCTTAGTTTAGGTGCTAAACTTTAGGAGCAGTTTAGCTTCCCTAAAACTCGCGCAGTGCTGATTGAGGACCTGAGATCCAGCGACATTCAATCCCTTTAGACCAGAGGTTGGCGAGGGAGTGGCGAGGAGGGCCTTGCGTTGATTACAAATCCAAACGGAGGCTCCCCTAACCTTCAGCTCCCTCGGTATTCTTTCTACTCCGTTACCGTGACTCGGAGGGAGTTGCCCACCCTCTCTCCTGGCGGCCCCGGTGCCCCGTGGCCCGCCAGCTGCAGCCCGCACCTCAGCTCTGCGGGTTCAGAAGCCCCACCCCCGTCAAGCCCGGGCTCCGCCCCAGCGCGCTCAGGCCCCGCCTCCCCGTGGGGGTGGGGTGGGGAGAATGCCTCCACTCTAGGCCTTTCGGTTTGCGCGGGCGACTGCGGCGGGGAGGGTGGGACATCTCGCGGCCGCTCACGGTAGGTGCGATCGATCGGGCCCGAAACTGGGCCGGGGCCTGGGTCAGGCGACAGGAGGGCTCCTCAAATCCTGCGGACGCAGCAGGCACTGGCGCGCTCTCCCAGAAGGGACTGCGCGCGCGCGGCCGCGGTTCCGAGGGAGGCCTCCGAAAGTGGGCGGGGCCGCGCGTGGCGCGCCTGCGCAGCCCGCCTCCTGCCTGTCAGGCCTGGTGTGTGAGGCTTGAGTGGACCCCTTCCCGCGCGGGCTGCTTAGTGGGACCGAGCTGTCGGCTCGCGGCTTTGTCAGCCCTGGCAGGTCCCGAGCCGCGCCTCAGGGCAGCGGGAATGGAAAGGCAGCGGGCGGGGCGTCTTCGAACGAGGACGACGGCAGCGGTGCCGGGCCAGGCCCCGTGGGTGGGGCTGTGGGGCTTGGGCTCGAGGTCGTTCCGCTCCCTGGATCCAGGCGTGGTGCCGCGCGACGGTCGCTGGGGCCATGCTGCCCTCTGCAGGGTGTCCAGGAATTGCCTCTGAGAAGGGCTGCGGCCCAGGGGTTGGATGGATATTCATTCTCCCGACGCTGCGGCCTCCGCTCTTGACCCTTGGCGACCCCCACCCCTTCCCCTCTCAATATTAAAAGGATGAAACGAGTTCATGTGAATATCAAATAAGGCCTTGAAGGCGGGATGAGATGCAGGGGTCACAGATTCAGAACGGGACGTGCGTGGTGGGGAATCCAACGTCTAAGTAACCAACGCCTTTGTGGGACCACTTGGCCCTGGCCCCTTTTTAACTCTCCCCGCGAACCCCCTAAAGCTTGAGGGTTCGGGGTTTCGACGCGTTCTGCAGCGATGGGCTAGGGTTGATTCTGACTCATAGGGACCCCGTAGGACAGGGTAGAACTGCTCTGTTTCCCAGACTAACTCGATGGGAGTAGAAAACCAGGTCTTCCACCAAGAGCAGGGAGTGGTTTCGGATGCAGCCCACATAGTGGAACCACAAGGCCCCTACAAAGGGCTCGCGTGGTATGCACACTGGTGGTGGTGGTGGTAGGGTCCGGTAACAGTGACCTTTGGCAGCGGGGAACTCTTCTCTAATGAGCACTAGCTTATCATTCCAAGACATTCTCACCCTGGAACATCGCAGGAGGCATTGAAGTAGCTGAAATCTGATCCTCCAAACCAGGTTTTGTAGCCGCAGCAAATAAAAATCACCATCTATTTACGTTTCCCCTGTTAGTGACTGTGCAAACCATGTTCTATCACAGAGCTGTGTTTCAAACACTGTGTTATGGTTAGAAGAATCGCTTAGGCCGGGACAATGACTGGAAGAACAGCAAGAGGCTAATCAGACCTAAGTTATCCCAAGACTCCTCCCCAACACACGGATGTTGTATTTATAGACTGAAAAAAAGAAAATAAGTTATATCCCCTTTTAACTCCACAGGGGGGAAAAAAAAAAGTTTTTTTGATTTGTTGGGATCAAGCAACCATAGTTACTGAACATCCGCTAGGCCAGTGGTTCTCAACCTTCCTAATGCCACAACCCTTTCATATAGAAACCCTTTCTTCATGTTGTGGTGCCCCCACCAACCATAACATTATTTTTGTTGCTACTTCATCACTGTCATTTTGCTACTGTTATGAATCGGGAGACCCCTCTGAAAGGGTCTCGACCCACAGGTTGAGAATTGCTGTGCTAGGCTAAAACTAACATTTTAGCTGTTGGTGTAGGAAAATTGATTTCTAAACATGTCTGGGTAGGCAACCAGGCCTGGTGTCATTGGTGCTGAGGGTCTAGGCTGGGATGTGGGAAATGGGCTAAGTGGAGGTTGCTTCCCTGTCAGCTTCTGTGATGTGCTGTGCCTTTGGTGCACATGTTCCTACAAATGCAGATTCTCAGGGAAACAGGACCCGAGGCTGTTGTGGTTTCTCTGGGGCCCAGAATTTATGAGCTCTTTTGTGCGTATCTTTGATCCTTCCCAGAAGTTGCCAATCACTTTTATCCAGAAGGAATCAATCTGTATAAAAACAAATTTTGTTTATACTATCAGAGGATCGAGGTTAATTTCAACTCTAGCTTGAGAACCTGGTTTAAGGGAATCTACTTCCCACGCCCCTGGATCCCGAGTGCCTCAGCTTTATTTTAAAATACCAAACAGCTTAGATTTCTTGCCCTTGGCACTTATGATTTATGGTGTTTTATAAGACAAGATTATTCTTTCTCTTCTAGAAGGTCTGGGAATGGGAGCATTGACAGGAACATGATAAAGACGCAACAAGAATGCTTTCGGTTTCTACATGGTTAGATTAGAAAGCAGCAGTGCTAATATGGAGGTGTAGACAATAGAACAGATATAGTCTTCTCTCCTCTGGGAACTTAATATGGGGCGGGGAATCTTCTGAGTTCCAAATAGACTTTAAAAAAAAATCATTCTATTGAGGGCTCTTGCAGCTCTTATAATAATCCATATATCAATTGTATCTATCACATGTGTGCATATGTTGCCATCCTCTTTTTCAAAGCATTTTCTTTCTACTTGAGCCCTCCCTTGGTATCAGCTCCTCTTTTTTCCCCCTCCCTTCCCCACCCTCCCACCCTCGTGAACCTTTGAGAAATGATCAATTATTGTTATTTTCATCCACTGTCTCTCGTCACCCATATTTCTGTTGTTCGTCCCCCTCAGGTGGTGGTGGTGATGTGATATGTTGATCATTGCGATCAGTTCCCCCTCTCTTCCCCCTGCTCCCCCTCTCCCAGTATGGCTGCTGTTGACGGAGTCTTGGGGTGCAGTAGGTAAGAGCTCAGCTGCTAACAGGTTGGCAGTTTGAACCCATCTACCCACTTCTTGGGAGAAAGTTCTAGCAATCTACTCCTGTTAAGAGGACAACTAGGAAATGTATGGGACTCCAGGAGTCAGAATGGACTCATTGGCAGTGAACCACAAAGATCGGTATGAAGCTGCTTATAACGGGGAGAAGATAAATCCATGCTTTCTGTTTGATCAGGGAGGACTCTCATAAGATTGCTGTTGATAAAGAGCTGTCTGAGCAGTGCCTTTGCTAAGTTCCATCTCTCCCACAGATGGAGGAAGTGGAACAAGGCCTGTTGATGCAGCCATGGGCGTGGCTACAGCTTGCGGAGAATTCAGTCTTGGCCAAGGCTTATATCACCAAGCACGGCTATGCCTTGCTGGTGTCTGATCTTCAACAAGTGTGGCACGAACAGGTGGATGTTGGTGCAGTAAGCCAGCGAGCCAAGGTAAGTGTGAAGAGCTGTCCTGGGGTGGGACAGTCTTGATGGACATAATTTCTTTCCCAGTGAAAGTCAGGAGACATTCATTCAGCTAGCTTGTTTCCCTGTAGGTTGCCAAGGAAGACTGAATCAGGTTGAGACAATTCCAGGTTATGTCTAGCACTTCCTCCTGTAGTCTTGGGATCTTTCCTTGTGGTCGTGTGTGAGTGTGTGTAGCTTCTGTACTATATACAGTACATATATACAGTCCAGAACCCAGTACCTGATCTCTGCAGGCAGTTTGGAAACGGATTTGCCCTAGGCAGAACTGTAAAGCAGACTACTTGATCTTTGCGATGCTATCCTTTTGGTACACGTCTATCCTGATCTGATGTTACCGTCTCACGGGCACTGTCTTAATGTTAGCTGTAGTGTCCTATGGCTGTTACTCGAGTTTCCATTTAACACCCTCCATCTTTGTATATCTTGCTGTTTCTTTAGGAGCTGAACAAGCGCCTGACTGCACCCCCAGAAGCTTTTCTCTGTCATTTGGAAGCTCTGCTTCGCCCCTTGTTGAAGAACGCGGCCCCCCCCAGTGAAGCTACCTTCTCCTGTGAGCGTGTGGCAGAGACATTGACACTAAGAGTGCGGAGTCAGATCTCTGGTCTCCCCTTCTATTGGAATTTTCACTGCATCCTAGCTAGTCCTTCCCTGGTAAGTGCACTTTAGTGTGTGTATTCGACGGGGGCTGGGCGGCGGAGAAGGGGGTGCCAGCTGCTTGAGATGAATGAAGCTTTAAGAGCTCTTACGTTTTCTTTCTTCTTTTTTAAAAAATCATTTCATTGGAGGCTTGTACAACTCTTATCACAATCCATCCATCCATCCACTGTGTCAAGGACATTTGTACATTTGTTGCCCCATCATTCTCAAAACATTTTCTTTCTACTTGAGCTCTTGGTATCAGCTCCTCATGTTTCCCCCTCCCTCCCTGCCCCCACTCCCTCATGAACCCTTGATAATTTATAAATTATTATTATTTTGTCATGTCTTACACTGTCCGACGTCTCCCTTCACCCACTTTTCTGTTGTCCATCCCCCAGGGAGGAGGTTATATGTAGATCCTTGTAATCAGTTTTCCCTTTCTACCCCACCCTCCCTCCACCCTTGCCACTCTCACCACTGGTCCTGAAGGGATCATCTGTTCGGGATTCCCTTTGTTTCCAGTTCCTATCTGTACCAGTGTACATCCTCTGGTCTAGCCAGATATGAAAAGTAGAATTGGGATCATGATAGAAGCATTAAAGAACTAGAGGAAAGTTGTATGTTTCATTGTTGCTATACTGCACCCTGACTGGCTCGTCTTCTCCCTGAGACCCTTCTATAAGGGATGTCCAGTTGCCTACAGATGGGCTTTGGGTCCTCACTCCAAACCCCACCTCATTCACAATGATATGATTTTTTTTGTTCTTTGATGCCTGATACCTGATCCCATCAACACCTCATGATCACACAGGCTGGTGTGCTTCCTCCATGTGGGCTTTGTTGCTTCTCAGCTAGATGGCCGCTTGTTTATCTTCAAGCCTTTAAGACCCCAGATGCTATATCTTTTGGTAGCCGGGCACCATCAACTTTCTTCACCACATTTGCTTATGCACCCATTTTGTCTTCAGTGATCGGGTCGGGAAGGTGAGCATCACAGAATGCCGGATTATTAGAACAAAATGTGCTACGTTGAGGGAAGACTTGAGTCAAGGCCCAATGTCCATCTGCTACCTTAATTCTTAATCTCCTTTTCTTATAGGAACACCAGCCATTGTATTTGGGGACCATTCTAATCCAATATGACCTCATTTTAACTTGATGACATCTGAAAAGTCCTGATTTCCAAATGAGGTCATCTTCACAGGTGGGGATGGGGAGAGAGGGCTAGGGGAACACACAAATCAGCCCATAGCACTTGCACGCACCTTGTCAGCCAGCGTACTGGAGTTTCCCTTTTCAACTGGTCTGGTTCAAAAGCCCATTTTTAGGACCTAGAATACTGTCACCTCCTGACCTGTAGCTCTATATGTTCTGAGAGCTTTTATTAGAAACTAGTTCATTAAGGGCAGCCAGTAAGAACTGGTGTGTAGGTTTTCTGCACTTGAGTTCTTCCACCTTTTAAAATAAACAGGACTTGTTTTAGTCACTAGAACTTGAATATAGGGTCTTTTTTGTAGACCCGAGGAGTCCTGGTGGCATAGCGGTTAGCTAGCTGAAAGGTTTGGAACCACCAGCCACCCTGCAGGAGAAAGATGGGGCATTCGACTCTTGTAAAACGTCAGTCTTAGAAACTGACAGACAGTTCTACCCTGGCCTATAGGGTCACTATGAATCAACATCTACTTGATGGTAGTGGGTTTGGTTTTAGTTTTTTATTTAAACCTTAATGGTGTCATAGTGGTTATGTGTTGGGCTGTGATACACTTGGTCATGGTCACTGTTCAAAACCACTAGAAGCTCCGAGGGAGAAAGACTGGGTTTCTACTCGGGTAAACAGTTACAGTCTTGGAAACCCACAGGTGGTTGCTATGAGTCAGCATGGGCTCGAGGGCAGCTTGTTTGTCTTTTGATTCAGGAATCCTGATGTCATAGTGTGTTGTGTATGTGACTGCTAAATGGAAGATCAACAGTTTGAAACAACTAACTGCTCTGTGGGAGAGAGATGGGGCTTTCTACTTCTGAAAAGAGTTACAGTCTCAGAAACCCACAGGGGGAGCTCTACCCTGTATTATAGGGTAATTGGGCCAATAGGCCCAGGCATAGGAACAAGTGTGAGGATGGCCCAGGGTTGTACTGTTTCGTTCTGTTGTGCATAGGATCACTGTGATAGTTAAGGTTTATTGTGCCAACCTGACCTATAAACACATATGGGATTAATTGAAGGGCAGAGAAGCAAATGGCTCAGTGAGCCTCGCCTCTCTTGTTCTCTGGTCTCATGTTCTCTGATGGTGGGACCAGGGTGCAGCTGCCTTAGCTAGTTCTCTGCCTCAGCTGGCAAGGCTCATTTCCTGCAAGACATCCCTGAGAAGAAGCCACATGGACATACCCTGATGCAGCCTGGGTGCTGGAAAAGCCACGTGGAGACCCCTGCCAGCACTGAGATGCTTACACACTCACTGATTTGGTTTTCTTCCTGCATTTGGTGTCATTGCGTTTGTTTTGTGAGTTTGAGGAGGAGTTTGTAGATCGATGTCAGACATACGGGCTAATATTGGACTTAGGGGCTTAGACTGGACTGGGTTGGAATGCTTAATGTACAATTACCCTTTATATAAAACTCTCATAAAATATGAGTGTTTATGAATTTTGTTTCTCTAGTCTACCCAAACTAACACAGTCACCATGGGTCAGAGCTAACTCAGTGGCAGGTAACAACAGCAACAACAAAGGTCACAATGAGTTGGAATTAACTTGATGGCAATGAATTTGAGTGTTTTGAGTTTTGAACAATAATATTTAGTATGTAGTAGTCAGTCACATTTGTTGAATTTCTTCTGAAATTTTCCATTCCTGTTATAGATATAAGGAGTGTTGGACTGCTAACCCCAAGGCGGGCAGTTCAAACCCAATAGCTGCTCCATGGGAGAGGGATGAGGCTATTTACTCCTGTACATTCCTGCTGTAGACATACCTGATAGAACTGATTTCAAAGCAAAGCCCCTGTAGCTTTTCCTAAGTGACACGAGAGGGCACTGTTCCCTTAATAATGCTTGTCCTGGGACCAACGATTTGGGGACAGTGAACAGTAAATCAGCAGAGCAGTCTCATTTTACATTAAGCAGTAGCTAGGCAGAACAGTCTCATTTTACATTAGATGGCCCTAGCAGACAGTGAATGAGATTGAAAAGGCAATCTTTTTTGGAAGCCAGTGAGCTGATATAATACTATTGTAATAAAATATGTCTATCCTAGGCAGATTCCTCTCCTTGGGGATTTGTATTAAGGAGAGAGATGGTAGCGCATGGGAGAGGGTGAGGACTTGTTGGCTGGGGGGAAAAGATATCTTTTGAAACATTGGTTTGGATGATGCTTTAAGTTCAAATGCATATCCCTAAAAGAAGAATTGCCAATCCAGGGGAACCTCAGCCCCTGGGGAGGCTTTGTGGAGAAAAGCAGCCCGTGGCCCCTGGCTGGGATGGAGGCGGATACTATTTCAGGCCGCGTGTATGTCAGTGAGGTCACACAGACATAGTTTTGTTTGTTACTCATTCTTGAGGTCGTTTTTCCTTATTTTTTTTGAATGAGTAATTCATGCAAAAGGCAAACATTTCAAGCAGTCTTTAAGAGTCCACAGTGAAAAAATAGATCTCCCTTCTTCTGTTGGTCATTTTTCTTCTCTGAAGTAACTGCTGATAGATAGCAGGTTCTCGTGAACCCTTTTGGAAAGCCACACCCACACACCCACATCTCTATCCATCTCTGTATGCGAGGGAGCCGCAAACAGTGGGAAATGGAATTAGACGCTGCTGAATCCCTGTTGGCATAGTGGGTTACATGTTGGACTGCCAGCAAGGTCAGTGGTCCAAATCCATGGGCTGTTCCAGTTCAAGGGAGAAAGGTGAGGCTTTCCAGTCCCATAAACAGTTACAGTCTCGGAAACTATCAGGGGCACACAGTTCCACCCTGTTCTATAGGATAACTGTGATTCAGAATTGACTTGATGGCAGTGAGTTTGAGCTTTTGGGAATATTTTTACACCCCCTGTGTGTGTGTGTGTGTGTGTGTAGCCCTGGTGGTGTAGTGGTTATGTGTTGGACTGCAATCTGCCAGGTCCACAGTTCAGAACCACCAGCATTTCCAAGGGAGAAAGACTGTCCTATCAGGTCGTTATGAGTCAGTACTGACTCAAAGGCCCTGAGTATACACGTATTCATACACCCAATCAAATATGTATCTCCATATACATATATATTTTCACAAATGTTAGCATGGTATATATACTGTTCAATACCTTACTTTTTTCACTTCATTCTGGAGCTTGGCAATCAGGCCACGTTCATACCTTTAGAAGACCCATCTTGATCTTGACTGGCTGCATAGGTGTTTGAGCTGGATGTACCAAAATGATCTAACTCATCTCCTGTTAAGTTGTTCCCAGTCTTTGGCTGCTATATACAGTGAATATCTTTATCTTTACTCTTTCTGAGTGGAATCCAAAACTGCAAGCTCACTACCAATGCATCAATTCCGACTCATAGTGACCCTATGGGATAGAGTAGAACTGCCCCTGTGAGTTTCTGAGACTTTAAATCTTTATCAGCGCAGACAGCCTCATCTTTCTCCTTAGAGCAACTGGTAGGTTCGAACCAGTGACGTTATGGTTAGCTGCTCAATCCACAACCCACTGCATCACTAGGGCTCTTTTCCTAGTGTAAATGTGTGAATCAATTCCTAGAAGTGGGATGGCTGGGTCACAGTAGATCGATCTTTGATGTTGTTCATGTACAGATGCCAAGTTTTGTCCAGAGCAAGTTTATGCGGCTCACCTCTTATAAGCTGCACGTAGGAGGAGAGTTCTGTTCCTCCACACCCTCTACGACATAGCGAGTGGACATGGAGACGGTGGTGGTTCTCTGCAGGACGTTGTAGAACAGAAAAGGCTTTGGGTCTCTATATTCTAACACTGAGCTCATTGCCACGCCGGCCAACTGTACTTCATGTCTTCCTCTTTTCCGCTGTCTCTTTTTTCTGGTATGTAATCTAATTCTTAATAGTCTATACTTTGACTTTCAGAAGGTTTACCTCTTTGGTCATGTCACGATCGCAGGAGTCACATCCAAAGATCTCTTCGTGGTAGAAAGCTCAGAGCCTTTGGAACCATCACCTGCATGTGTAACTCGGCTCCGCTGTGTCCAGGCTACGTGCGCTGCCTTGGACGGTCAGCGTCTTCATCTAGAAAACGAAGATCCTCGTTATGACATGACTGTGGAGTTGTGAGGATGAAACTGAGAACACATATGATATTACAGTTAACCTCAGCATCATCGTGGACCTGGGAGAACAAGTCGTCAAACTTCCTACTTGCTCTTTTTTAAAGGAAATGCGGACCCTGAGCTGACTGTGAGCTCAGCCATCCTCACGTCCAGGTGCTTTCAGAGCCATGCCTACAAGTCCGGTCTCCTCATTCCCAGTCTGCGATCCTTGCGGTGTTTCCCCTGCTGTGGTTGATCTTGGGATAGAGAGCTGCCACTCCGTCGCCTCCTTGTGACTTGTGAACATTTCTCTGAGAACTCTGAAGACTGAGGGAGATTATAAAGAGCGTTTCCTCCAGAAAAGACTGGCAACTCATGCTTCTAGACTCACTGCACGTCCCAGCCTCATTCCCCATCGTGAGATAGGGGCCCAGGAAGTGTTTGTTGGATGGGCTCATCACCTCTTCATGTGCGGTTCTGGGAATGGAGGCTGGGTCACCGACCACTTCAATGTTTCACCTTGTTGTGTCTGTGCATTTACTTGGATCCATTTACACCTGTTTACTCAGTCTTTCTCACAATCCATATCTTCAAGAGTTCTAGCAAACGTTAGACTACGTCTAAGAACAGAGCAAAGCTCTCTGGAAAGATCTGGAACGAAATCCATTACCTTCGCTACAATGCGTTTCGTGTAACCGACTGATCTAAGGGAAATCATTCAGGTGTTCATCTGACTTTGGGAAGAACCTCAAGGATTCAAAGTGGTGTAACCCTGTCCTATGAAATTATTTGGGCAATAAAAATGTTTACTGATAAAAAAGACACTCAATTCATTGGATACCATTGCTGATGAAACACAATTCCTTCCCAAGGTTCATTTTGTTATATTTACCACCACTCAAGGAAATCGCTCTAACGGCGCTCCTTAGAGAGAGGCTGGTTATTAATTCCAGACATGTCTGTCATTTGAGTACTGCCACCAGATTGATGGCGATGTTGCTTGGTTAGCAATGGCCGTTATGTTTAACTCAACTTGTCCAACATTGGCTGGTTTTCATACAGTGACTATTCGCCGGTTTCTCCTCCTGATCTAACTTAACCAGGACCAAACTAACAAAACAATTTCAAGGAAAGAAGGTTGGGTCTAGAGCAGACAACTTTCCCAAAATGCAGTGTGTCTATTGTATCCTGAATCATCCCTGTACTTCCTGGAAGCTTAAGTGCATGTGAAGCTCCTGAGTTTAGGAAACAGTGCCGGGCTGGGGTATGCAGTGTGATTGTATGAGGCGTAAAACAAGCAGAGCAGCAACTAGTGTCGACATGTGGACTTCACTTCTGGCCTTTAACTCCATGCCACTACCCTCACATACAAGGGCTTGGTTCTGGTACAAAAGCTGCTGTTACTCATACACTTTCTGTCCTCAGACACACACACACACACACACACACACACACACACACACACACACACACACCTCTTCCAGTCTAACCTGAGAGAAATGCCAAAAATTAGAAAACAGAAATTTTCCCTCTTAGTTTGAGCCACAACATAATGGAAGTTGTTAGTAGTAACTTTTATTAAAAAAAAAAATCATAAGTCATGAATATACCAAAGTCCAAAGAGTTCAGACTTCCGACTGATCTGGGTGATTCTCTGGCGGGTGTCTATTGTGGACCACTTAAGTACAATTTCCTTACTTGAAGTTTGCATGGGATGTCTTGTCTAAAAAAACAACCCTTTTTAGATCTAGGGCAGGGCTTGGCGTGCTATGACCAAGGGACCAAAGTTGGCCTGCGGCCTGTTTTTGTAAAGTTGTGTTGCCGTCCAGCCACCCTGTGGCTGCATTCGGGTTACCCTGGCAGCGTTGGGTTGTTAGTAGCAGCCGAGGCTTTGGCTCACAGAGCCAAAAGTACTGACTAGCTGGTCCTTTACAGACGAAGTTTGCCAACTTCTGACCGAGAGCATTTCTCCTTCTCAGTGCTGGGAGTCCATTTCCTCTCCAGGGAAGGGAGAAGAACTCTGGTAATATCGTTTAGCCACAAACAGATGATTGATTTTCCTTGCTTTTGTTGACAGGCTAAGGGGCATCTTGTGTGGGAGAACTTATCATTGTCCTATGTAGCTACACTTTGTCCTGTAAAAGCCTCACCTGAGCTGTGTTCTCGTTCCATCTTGTTAAGAACAAGGTTGGATGAGTGAGCGCTCGGCTTGCAGCAACCGGAAAGAACAAGGTTGGATTCCATCCAGAGTTGCATTGGAATAAAGGCCTGGCGATCTATTTCGGGGGTGGGATGCGGACGAGCTCTGGAAACCCCATGGAGCAGAGTTCTATCCTGACAACCACGAGACTGCCTGGAGTGGAGTTGACTCATTGACGACCCGTTGGATTTGGTGCCTATGAAATGGAAAAGACATTTATCCTTGCACATCCTTTTCTTGTATCTAACACAATGTTGCAGCCAGGTAGTCTTCTCAGGTGAGCCCTGGACTATTAACCACAAGGTCAGCTGTTCAAACCCATCAGCGACTCTGCAGAAGAAAGCTGAGGCCATCCACTTCTGCGAAGATTTACAGCCTCAGAAACCCTCAATTGGGTTGCTGTGAGTCCAGCGGACTCCATGGCAGAGGGGTTGGGTTTGCGGGGGGGTTCCGAATACAGAGTTCGGGATTACTCGGTGTCTTTTGCTAATTACTATCTCTTTCCTCAAAGGTCTCTCAACACTTGATCCGTCCCTTGATGGGCATGAGTCTGGCCCTGCAGTGCCAAGTGAGAGAACTGGCAACATTGCTGCATATGAAAGACGCAGAGCTCCAGGACTACCGTGAGAGCGGGGCGACCCTGAGCCGAGGTGAGAGAATGTCCTCTGGAGGGTTGGGTGGTGACATCCTTCGAGGGCCTTAGAAAAGATAGAGAGAGACATGTTACCATTAAAGAGGTACTTCCTTAAGGGTGGGTGCTGGGTACTTGATATCAGGCAATATTTCTCTCTGTCTCAAGTACCTTGTGAGGGCCCATGTGGCCAATAGAAGCTATAACCGAGTTCGGACACGCCCTAAGCAATGGCAAGGAAAAGAGTCGGGGAAAGGGCTCATAGCAATGCCAGATTGTGCCAGGGCAACATGCAGTTGGGAGCTGCGGAATTTGACTTTCGTCTTTGTGGCAGGAAAAATGCCTAGAGTAGGCTCAGCCACTGAGCTGGTCATTTGCTGCTACGGACTCTCTTCACCTCTGTTTTGACCCATATTCTCTCAGCTCTCTCCACCTGCTGGCCTAGATGTCTCTGAGTGCTGCTTCTGTCTCTTCTTTCTAACAAGTCCCTGTGCTCTGTTCCCTTTTGTATTTCACAGACGACAGCCTCCCCCTAGAACTCATCTCCCTTTTCTCTATCCCTTCTTCTTACAGATCGATTAAAGACAGAGCCGTTCGAAGACCAGTCCTTCTTGGAACAATTCATGGCGGAGGTAAGGGCCTGTTCCCTTCCTCCTGGAGCCGCTTTGCTGCGCGTCCCTTTAGGGGTGCCTCAGTGACGGCTTGCATTTTGGTGTTAAGTGGCTTGTGTGTTTGAAAAACCCTTTTGCCTGAAACAGTTGCCTCCAGACAGCCTGGCCAGGCTTGAGATATACATGGTAAGGCGGGAGAACTAGAGGAAAAGGATGTAACATTTGTAAAACATCTCTGTGAACATGCCTAGCGGTTTCTGTGGGGATTCCATCAGCTTGGTTGGCCAGTTGCTAAAGTTGTGTTTGTTGAGAATTCATCACAACATCTGGATTATGGGAGTTGGGGAGTTGTCATTATTTATTATTTAAGCCCCTTCAGCATCCAGCTGTAGACCCAGGTTAAAAGCACAGTACTACCAGTTGGGAACTGTCTTGTGGCCACAGTAGACTGTGGAAAATCACGGTGTTTACACAAGAGGACAGGCAAAGGAACGAATGTGGAGCAGATAATTGTGGCCTGTCAGAAGGTCCTGCCTAGGTTTCTCTTCTAAGGATTGAGCTTGGCCAAAAGAAACATTTATTAAAAGCCAAATAGGGGAAGTGTTAATAATAGTGACCTTTGATAATGCCAGTCAATATTGATCTTCTCCTTTCCTAACTCCTCTGGGATTTGTTGGTTGTAGAGGTAGCATGTTAGGATTATTGCCCCACTTTCTAATTATACACATTGCCCAAGTTGGTACTTTATTGTGTAAGTAAATAATGCTATTATAGTATGGTTGCTAGATTCTTCATATTTCTGCCTTGTCATTTAAGCTATTTTGTAAGTTTCTTGTAGAGGGGGACTGTGCATCATACTGCTTTTAAACCTGAAAGTCGTTGGAATTGGCTCAATGGCGAGCTGAGTGAGGGAGGCATCAAGCAGGTATTCTTGGTTGGGACCTCTGTTCGCCGGAGTCCGTGGACCCAGCGATGGCCACATTGTGCTTGGGGTCTTGATACTAAGAGCCAAATTTGTGAGGCAAGCGCTGAGTTCATGCACTGGAGGGACTGTAACTCTGTGGAAGAAGGAAAGGATAGATTGCCGAATCCTGCAGCCAGTTGATGTTCAATCTTGATGAGAAAGAGGTACCATCAAACCCAACCCCGTGAGAGAGATCAGGGTTTTCCTAGGCTATTTTTTTTCTCAGATAGTTCCGAGGGTTTATAATCCAACAACACATTCATTGCAAATACCTTTTTCAGCAACATATAAATTGTGACCATACATAGAGACTTCACCAGATGGAATACAAAACAAAACTCACTGCCGCTGAGTCCATTCTCCCTGATGGCAGCTCTATGGGACAAAGTTGGACGGCCCCTGTGGGTTTCCAAGGCTGTAGCTCTTTACGGGAGTAGAAAGCCCCAACGTTCTCCCGGGGAGCGGCTGGTGGTTTTCACACGATGACCTTGCTGTTAACAGCCCAGTGTGAAACCACTATGCCACCAGGGCTCTTACGTGGAATACACAGGAACCAATCACCTGTGGAAAGAGACCATGAAGAAGCTCCATTAAATCAGTCAAGTAAACGCCAGCAGCAAACTGTGGAATGATTATAAATTGCTCATATCCAAGTTCAAGTTGAAGCTGAGAAAATTAAAAACAAGCCCTTGGAAGCCAAAATATGACCTTGAAAAAATCACCCCTGGATTTAGCACCCATTTCAAGGACAAACTCGAGGCACTGAACAGTAATGACTGAAGACCAGACGAATTGTGGGAGAGCATAATATGCAAAAAGAAAATGACGAAAGAAGGAAGTAAAATTATATATAGGTATAAATATACATATATATGTAAATATATAAATACAGGTGCATTTGTCTATGTATGTGTATATATAAGTAAATACAACAAGATAGCAGATGGGCTTTGAGCCTCTACTTAAATCTTACCTCAGTACAAGAATAGTTTGTTCTAATAATGTGGCACTGTATGATACTCACCTTCCCCACATGATCGCTGAAGACAAAATGGGTGCATAAGCAAATGTGGTGAAGAAAGCTGATGGTGCCTGGCTATTAAAAGATGTAGTGTCTGGGGTCTTAAAGCCTCGAAATTAAACAAGCAGCCATCTAGCAGGTAAGCAACAAAGCCCACATGGACGAAGCACACCAACCTGTGTGATCAGGAGGTGTCGATGGGGATAGGTATCAGAAGTTCAAAGACAATCAATCAAATTGAAGTGAAGAAACGTGGACAAAGTGGAGACCCCAAACCCACCTGTAAGCTAATTGGACAATCCCTCACAGAAGGGCCACACGGAAGGGATGATAAATCTAGGGAGTGATATAGCACTGATGAAACACATAACTATCCTCTAGTTCTTTAATATTTCCTCCCCTTACTATTATGGTCTTTGTTTTGCCTCATTGATCTTGTTAGACCTGCACATATTCATTTGCATTATTAAGAGTGTTTAATGCGAGAAAGCCAAGATAGTTAACCCTTCAGAAACAGTAACAGGAGTAATGATTCCCTGAGTGTGTGGGAAGAGAGGGTGGGGAAAAGGGGACCTGATAGCAATGACACTGTGTGATTCCATTCCAGGGGAAGGAATAACCGAATTGCAGGTGAATTGGGTACATTGGAGAGTGTAAGATGTGGCAAATAATAATAAGATATAATATAATAATAAAGGTTCCTGGGGGAGGGGGTAGGGTGGGGAAGGGAGGGGATAAAGGGGAGCTGATATCAAAGAGTTCAAGAAGAAGGAAAATGTTTTAAAATTGATGGTGGTAGGAATTGTAAAATTATGCTTGATCTAACTGAATTATGGATTGTTATAATATCTGTAAGCGCTCCCAATAAAGTGATTAAGGGGGAAAAAAGGACATCATAGGTGAAGAAAGCAACAGGTCACTAAAGACAGGAAAGTAAAGATGGCAACAGTGTGGATGTCAAAAGAGACTCTGAAACTTGCTCTTGAATGTCGAGTAACATAAACAAATGGAAGCAAAATGATGACAAGAGCTGAACAGAAAATCCCAAAGGGCAGCTCTGGAAAACCAAGTAGAGCATTATAGTGAAACGTGAAGACCTGGAGGTGGAACTCCAAAAGAGAAGAACATGCTCAGTAAATCTCAAGCCAAACGTGCTGAAGAAAAAAAAAATCAATCCTCACATTGTAATTCTAAAGGGTTCTATGGACAAAACAGTGATGAAGGAAGCATCAAAAAGAAAAAGAAAATGTAGAGTCCCTATCTGAAAAAAGAATTGGTTGACATTCAACTACTTCGACAAGTACAATCATAATCAAAATCTGATTGTACTGAAGGAAAAAGTCCATGATCCACTGAAGGAATTCATGGAAAACAAGGCTCCAGGAATTGATGGAATACTAGTTGAAGTGATTGAAGCAATGCTGGGAGCACTCACTAACATATGCCAAGAAATTTGGAAGACAGCTACCTGCCTAACTGACTACAAGAAATCTCTATTTGTGCTTATTCTCAGGAAGGGTGATCCAACAGAATGTGGAAATGATTGAGGTAATATCATTAATGTCACATGTAACTAAAGATTTTCTGAAGAGAATCAGAAAGTGGTTGCAGCAGTACATGGTGAGGGAGCTGCCAGCCATTCAAGGTGGAATGAGGGACGTCATTCCTGAGGTCGGCTGGATTTTGACTGACAGCAGAGCAGACCAGAAAGATGTGTTCCTTTGTTTTTTTGACAGTGCAAAGGCATTAGACTGTGTGGATCATAACCAAAATCTATAGATAACATTGTGAAGAATGGGAATTCCAGAACACTTAATTGTGTGTCTGGAAACCTGTGTATAGCCCAGAGGCAGTCATTGAAACAGCACCAGGGAATCAATACGGTGTGGTTTAAAACAGGCAGGTGTGTTGTCAAGGTGTGTCCTTTCACCATGCTTATTTATCTGCTGAGCGAATAATGAAGAGTTTGGCATCGGACTGGATAGGAGGATTGGAGGAAGGCTCATTAATAACCTGTGATATGCAGATGACACAGCCTTGCTTGCTGAAAGAGGGCTTGAAGCATTTCCTGCTGAAGATCAAGATGACAGCCTTTGGTATGGATTACAAGTCAATGAAAGAAGGCAAAAGTCCTCACCGCTGAACATGGTAATACACGTGGAGACAAGATTGACGTCCTCGAGAGTTTCATTTTACTTGGCTCCACAATCAAGGAAGCAGCAGGCAGGAAAACAAATGCCTGATTGGCCTGGGCAAATCTGCTGCCCAAGGTCTCTTTAAAATCTTAAGAGCAAAGATGTCACTTTGAGGACTGAGACACAGCTGTGGTCTTTTCAGCCACCTCCTGTGCATGTGAACGCTGGATGATGGGTAAGGAAGACTGAAGAGTGGATGCTCAGGTATCAGCAAAGGCTATGGGCAGTTCCCTGGCCTGCCAGAAGAACACAACCTTTAGCTGGGAGCACGGATAGCCAGCATGCTCCAGAGAACCGAGAATGGCGGGACTTCATCTCATGTACTTTGGACATGTGATCAGGGTAAGGTGACCAGATTTTAACATTGGTAACGCAGGACACCATTGATAAACTCATATCTTGGCGAAATAGCCACACGGCAGCCGAAAACC